TCCCACATGAGTGCATATTAAATATTTTTGAAAATCTATTTTGCCGGGTTATGTGATTACAAAATTATTTTGGATAGACATGTATTGTTTATAGATATAAGAAGATGTGGTATGAGTGCCAATGAGACAAATTTCCATCCAAGTCAAAATTTATAAAAGTAAACCATTATAGGTCACAGTACGGTCTTCAACACGGAGCCTTGGCTCACACCGAACAGTAAGCTATAAAGGGCCGTCTAAAATTCAAAGAATCCTCATACAATGGCTGTATAAAAAGTTGTATATAGCAGACCTATAATGCTTTTTCATGAACTTTTTTAGCGATTTTGCAGGTTAATATATATGAAAACATTTGTTATCTTCAACAATATGAATTGCTTTTTAAACTTGCCTGAGGAAGACGGAAAACGATCCCGGATACACATGTGAAGATGAAGCTCTATAGTTTATTGAAAAATTTAAATTCACACCGCATATGTTTTCGAAATTTATGACTGAGTTTCATATGAAATTGTATTGTGTCTGGTTTTTGCATATTACTCCCATCTTTTCTTTTCAATATGGGTTTATGTTAAGAATAAACATCATTATCTAACGGTTATACAGATACAGCGAAAATTGACACGAAGTAGGCAAATATTTCCAAAAATAGGAATTATACCAACCTGTATGTATTTCACACTAGTAAAAAAAGAAGAAAAAACGTGAGATTGCCTTTAAATTTACCTCTTTAAAATTATTGTAGCCTTAAAATTGTCAAAACTTATCAAATCGACTTTCTAAAATTCACAGGTTTAGTCTTTTTTACCCAAATGTTCTGAAAAGCGTCTCAAAATCGAAAAATGGATTTTTTAAGATTAGAAAAAAAACCCACCGCTATTTTAACTAGTTGCGATTTTAGTCTCTTTTTTTTTTAACTATGTTAGAACATAAATCAGGCCATTGTTTTTCTCTTTTAAATGATTTCTCATTTTTTCATACCGGGGCATTTTATAACATAACTTTTTATAACATGTATAACTGGGTTTACTCATTGTTGAATGACGTACAGTGTCCTATAGTAACTGTTGATAACATCCTCGTATTTTGTTCTTTCAATTGACGGAAAGTTTTCATCATACCACAACTTTTTATTTATAAGCCAATATATCCATTTGTTGAATTAAGATGATACATTTCAAATGTAGGACATAAAAGCCCCGGACACGAAGATGGTACCAGAAAAAAGTCAGGTTAGAGATAGTTTGTCTCTGATTTACAATGTGAAAAACTTATTTCATAGTAATAGTTTGTGTTTTCTTGAACATTAATAATTATAAGTATATGCAACTTGTAAACAAAATTAATTCACGATAAAAGAATTCATAATGATCTAATGATTATTTAGAAAATAGGCTGCGAAAATTTGTTATTACTTGACTGGCTTTATGGTACCAATAAATATATCCTTTGCATGAATAAAATTTGATAAGTCTTCATTTATCAATTCTAACGAACAATATCCCAAGCTGTAAAATGAATTTTTGTGATAAAAAGAAAGTACTTCAATAATTTAAGTTTCTCTAATATATTCAAACGATAGTAAACAGTTTTACTATTTCATTGTGAATTTTTGTCCTATCAATTATGTGACGGTCAGGAGTGGGACTTTGTGCCATTTACTTGCAACTCGGGACTGAAAAATTACCTTTACCAGAGACATATATATGTATATATGTCTCTGCCTTTACTTATGACCTCATAATTACCATTGTAAAGTCAATCGTTTACGGTTTCAGAGGCGTATAAAACAGATAGTAAATACCTTTTTTTCAGATTGTTTTTTACATAATCAAGAAGGACAAAGAAGATTCTTTTGAAAGAAAGATTTGTAATTATGCCAAATGAAAATTAAACTATGAACTTTTTTGACATAGTTAGTCGTGAATTCTTTCTACTACAGCCCAAGTAATTGCATATTTAAATATAATTTTTCTTTCTCTTTAAAACCAAGTGTCTTGCTGATAGCAAGGATTTAAAACTATACAAATCCTTGCTGATAGTTAACATGTTAAAGGATTCCCACTGATTACAATCAATTATCACATATATGATCATATATAGACCATCGCGACACATATCGAGAGTTGTCTTATCTTGCGAACTGGACACCAGATGAGTCAAGGAGATTAGAAACCCAGTTCAAAAGAATTATTTCTTAATTTGAGTTATCTCCCTCAAAAGTGTCCACAATTCTTGTACATGCGTATACAAACAATAAATCAACAACTTCATTATTTTTTGGCTAATTCACAAAAGGACAAGTTATGAAATGAAAAAGTGAGATTTGTTTCACTGAAAACATAAATTATTCAATTTGACCAATTTAATTGGTCATTTTGACTGTCCTCTAGATGACAATGCACTTTAATCATTTTGACTATGCTCTTTGTCGTTTGACTAGATGGGTAGTCACATTTGACTGAGTAGGGTGGTAATTATGACTATGTTTGGAAGTCAAAATGACCATATGTTATACTCGTTATGACGAATTTGATTGTTCAATTGACTATGCACATTTGTCAGTTTGACAATTGAATGCAGTCCATATGACTTATTGAAATAGTCGAAAGTGACCATGTTGTTTAGTCAACATGATTACTGTGAATAGTCACGACTGTTAGACTGTTATTTTAATTTGTGTTGTGTTTTTTGTTCCACCAATTTACTTTGTGTGTGTTTCTATCCGTTTTGTACTTTTATGTTTCATTCTTCTGTTATTCTACTTTTTTTTGTTTCTCTTCAATAGGATTGACAAATACATCTGGAATATAATATCATTAAAAATACCACAACAGCAAAACTACCATCGAAACCGTATAGGACCACAAAGTGCTCAATGTTCAAATCCTTCCTATATCTTCATGATTTTCATGTGTTACCATTACTCAGTGACATATATTGAAGTCTAAAAATCAAATAAAGAAAATATATTTATTATATATAAACTCATTGTTAATTGGAAGTGTTTATTTCAGATATTTTTTCGGTATCAACTGTGTCAGTGTAATAATCTCTCTGGTCAAAAATCTCTCAGCTGTGTTCATACAAATAGCAATGTCTTCATTTGCTGAAAAATATAATTATATCATTTTAGAAGCTAAAATATAACAATAAACAAGTATATCTGTCATGTTAAAAGTTAAAAGAAAAAACAAATTTTAAAATCTTTGATCTAGTGATTTTGTCACTCATTTTATACCATTATTTTGTAATGTAAGTTCCGGGATCTTGACAGCCACCCATCTTATACCACAGCATTGTAATGTAAGCACCAGGATCTTGACAGCCACCCATCTTATACCACAACATTGTAATGTAAGCACCGGGATCTTGACAGCCACCCATCTTATACCACAACATTGTGATATAAGCACCAGGATCTTGACAGCCACCCATCTTATACCACAACATTGTAATGTAAGCACCAGGATCTTGACAGCCACCCATCTTATAACACAACATTGTAATGTAAGCACCAGGATCTTGACAGCCATCCATCTTATACCACACCATTGCAATGTAAGCACCAGGATCTTGACAGCCACCCATGTTATATCACAGCATTGTAATGTAAGCACCAGGATCTTGACAGCTACCCTGAGGGTTTTTTTTTGAATTCATTGTTGTGAATATCGATTGCAGTGTTTTGTTTTTACAGTTTTTGATCAGGTGAAAAATAGATATCGCTAAATACTCTTTTCAATCGAAAATACGTTGTATGTGTATCAAAATTGATATCCTGTATACATATCTCCCTCTGTTTTGTATTGTCATTAATTTACGTCAACATGTGCCGATATATTACATTCATTACACTTCTTTTTCTCAAATTTAATTTTTGTAAGTTAGAATTAAAACAAATGTACATGATACTTACTTTAAACAATTGGTTTAATTGACAAAATAGAAGTTTCGTGCCTCCTGGTTTGTTTACATCTACACGATCTAGGGAACAAAGGGAACGCGAAAGAGTGCGCGTGAAAACCGATACTCTACACCACGTGGTGCTGTGACCACCCAACATAGTCAATTGACTATGCAGGTAGTCATAATGACTTGATGGGTAGTCATGTATGCTGTTGACTACCTTTCGGCTAATATTTGACTAACTGAATAGTCATAGTGACTAATTTAAATTTTCAGTGTTGAACCATGGAAGTAAAACTGATTTAAGTACTGTAAATTCAGAAATTATTGCGATGTTTTTATTATTGCGAAAAATGCGACAGGGTTATAATCGCAATAATTTAAACTCGCATTTTGAAAATTTTTATATGAATTAAACAGGATTTTTTTCAATATCGCAAAAATTTAAATCGCATTTTAGTCTAAAATGACAAAATCGCAATAATATAAAGTTTAGGTTTCAAACTATTTCTACTCTAAATACCTGATTTGAGTTTGTTGACTGGGATATAGATAAATTGAGATCAAGCATATCTTGAATATGATAGCCAATGACCAAACCATATTGGTTTTCCTAAATGGTTTAGTTCAGGATTAACAAATACGAATATAGCTTAAGGTTTGAACTATAATTTTCAAACTGGCTACAAAAACAAATAATCATGATTCATTTCTTTAAACTTTTTTAAACAAAGACTGTTTTCACAGTTAAATTTCGACTTCAGCCAGGAAGCTACCTCTAATTCCCAAAATAGTACCTCAGAAAGGAATTAACATTCAGTGGTTGCTTCTTATTTATCATGTTGTAATAGGATGGGAGAGAGAGAAATTATTTCTTTAACAAGAAAATTATGCCCAATATAGAACATCAGTTTCATTAAGAATCCATGTAAGTTTATCTACATCTTATATAAAAAAGAAATGAGGCGAAATCATGCATCTTTATAAAACAATTATCTGATCTTTCATTCCAAACATGCATTTAGGTTCACGATTGCATTTCTTTTTTTTAAAGAAACCAACTTGTTTGCGATATATTTATTATGTTGCAGGTGAAAGACTTCATGACTTGGAAATTACCATAGGAAAGACCTTGTCGAACATGAAGTTTTATGCTCGTTTTACGGGACCAGCTTCACCTGGGCAGGTTTTAAATATGAACTGCAAAATACCAACAGCAGCACGATACGTCAAGCTGATGATAATGGACAGGAGTGTGCATAATTGGCTTCATGTTTCGGAAGTTGAAGTATTTGCTGACTAAATAAAAAGAATATGACACCGAATCTTGGTTGTATCATGGAATTATTATATAATACTTCCATGGTTGTATCAATGACATACACTCCATGCCCTTTTTATATAGGGATATTTTTGAAGATGGAAAATAGTAGTTAATATTCATTATACTTTTGTTATGCCTCCCCGACAAAATGTTCGGAGGAGGCATGTTGTTTTACCACTTCATGTCCGCTGGTCTGTCCGTCCAACATAGGGTACATGGTTTGTCCGGATTACTCCTACATTTTCGAAGCTAGTACTTTTAAAATATGCAGGTTTTTGTACATATACTAAAGGCACAGGCACAGAAAAAAATATTTTACTTTTTACTTATATATATACTGTTCAAATAACACGTGTTATAGTAAAGTATATATGTTTTTTTTCAGAGACAAGTGCCTGCGACTTAGAGCGTTCAAATAATCATTGTTTTTTATTTCTTTACATTTTCATCAAATAACAGGATGTTGCAGTCATTTTCCTACCAAAGGTCGGTGGTTCTCTCCGGGCATTCCGGCTTCCTCTACCAATAAAAAGTGACAGACAGGAAATAGCACAATAGTGTTGAAAGTGGCGTTAAACAAAAATCAATCAATCAATCAATCAGGATGTTGTCATATGGTTGGTGAAATTACGCATACAAGGTACAAGATTCAATCGGCTAACTTCTGCAGTTTTAAAGCTGTAACTTTTGTATAGTACTGCGTGTTTGAACATCAGAATTTCGAATTTCTTTAAATTTCCCACAAATGACAGGATATTGAACTGATAGATATTTTTGCCCACTTGACAAAAGTCTAGTAGTTTACTTTTGCTATTTCATGATGAAGTAATAATGCATTTGGAAATGATGACTTTTCATCGCTGTTGTTGAGTCATGGATCCTTTTTTTTTCTTTTCGGTGTTTGTTTGTTTTTTATTTAAATTTCTTTAATATTTCAACTTGTGTTTACTTATGTACATACGATCTTACAATAACAATACCATTAGATTATATGTGCTGCCCCTTTATACTATGGATATTAGAATAGAGGGGCATTCAGCATTATTTTACGTAAATAAAGAATCAATTTCTATGCATGTGCATAGGGAACATAAATCAACCAGTTGATACGATATTCCAATTTGGATTGCGTTTAGTTTCTATCATGAATAAGGATGAAAGCTATTGAATGGTAAGGCTGATGTTATCCTTTCGAAAGTTCTACAGACGCCACTATTATTTGGTTGACCTATGACGAATAGCTGTTTCGCAGATGACCGCATAGTATGAGGGTCTGGATTGGGGGTTTATTGTTTTGCCAATTATCTCCATTTTATATATTTTAGCACCCCATTCTTCCCTTTTATTTAATAATTTGAACTATTTTTCTCTATTCTTTATTTTTTTGACGCATTTTACTGTAGATTTGGCCCATTATTCTCTATTATGTAAATCACATCCAGACCCTCGTATATATGTTCCACTGTTGTTGTCGTTTCAACGTTTTTCCTTTGGCTATGCTGTCGTCTGTTTTTCTTCGACTTGCGTTTTTCTTATATACTCGTGTGACCATTGCTTGTGGAAACAGAATGCGTTGGTAAGGTTGTCCCTTTTCCTTCAAAATTCACAGCGTAGACCTGTCTTATTTTCAACATTGTCCTTTTTTATCTTTGATTTGCTTTAGTTTTAGTTTAAACAATATTTTATATTTTTCAAAAGTGCACAAATTACAATAACACTAGTATAATAGAGATACAGGGATTCGGAAACAAGAACAGCTACATATTGTAAAGAAACCCCCTATGATATAATATTCAATGTACATTAGATATTCTATGTTGTCCCATTAAATGATTAGTTTTAAATAGTCTAAATTTAAAAGCAAGACATCATCTATTTTCTTAATCTTGTCATGATCCCATCAATGCATCACATATTAAATTCATGTATTTTATACAATGTTTATAATAGTAATTGGTTTATTTGTCTGTGTGAATTGTTCAAACGGGAGAGTTAAATCACAGAAGCCTATTTTTTGGTTCCGCTATGCTTAATCAGTGTAGTGGATCAAGGAACTATTCAAAAGGAGGAGTGGCTACCTGTAAATAAGGGGTGGAAGAAGGGGTCATACTTTATATTATACTTATTTTTAAGATAGAAATAAGGAGATACCGGTTTTCGGTAAAAGTAAAACACCTAACACAAAAGATTAACACGCATAACCATCTATTGTGATATTAAAAATTCAGAGTCTATCGGAAACACTGTTTGGTTTGCTTGCTTTCAAAGATTGGAATAAAAGGTGTCTACTTAACTTCAGGGGCGTAGGAGCAGGAAGCAATTGCACCCACTTTCAAACTTGGAACCAAAACACTGACTCACTTCTAGACTATATTAGACTATAAAAATGAGGGTTTTGTTTCTTTGCTTTTCACTTTCAGAAGTGTACACACCCAAAAACACACACATACACAAACACTTTTCAGTCTAATCCTATGTACGCCATTGAAAGTGTTCACAACCACTCGACTGCACGAAAATATATGACTTTCTTTTTATTAATTTACAAAATGTTATTTTGTTAGCTATATCATTAATATCCACTGAACTGGGCCAATTTAAATGCATGTTACGTCTTTTTTGCATATTTTAATTGTTTAAGTTTGGGAAAAAATCATATACAGATATAACTAGATACCATTGGGACATTCAAAACACATAAGACGAAGAGAAACTGACAACGTCATGGCAAAAAACAAAAGACGCAAAAAAGAAAAACAAACCCACAAAACACCAATAACCCTGAATTGTAAAATTTCCGAGCAACACACTTCACCACAATACTAAAATGTCCGCTTGGAATGATATTGGAAAAAATGACTACTTAAACATGAGATCGAAGTAAAGGCCACATGACAGACTTGTACTCTAGCAACCACTCCATATATTAAATGTTAAGTAACTGACCTTAAGACTTGTTCACTGAAGCATGAAAGTTAGGTCAATAACACATGTCAGACTGTTAACACACACTCTTCGCATTCGAAACGTCATCTTGAATGTGTTCAGTTCCAACAAGCGCTGTAGTAAGACATTGTTTCCAAACATACATACATGTAGTGGATGTGAACTCGACTTATAAGCTACTGCAATGAACAATTCAGGGTTAATCTTTAGGTACAATTGTGTCACGTGTCACTCAGTAGTTCGAAGTAGGCCGTACAAAAAATATGTAGCATTTGAAAATAATGCTGAACTAACAATTAGTTGCACACGTACATGTCTCGTCTGTTGTAATATCAGTTGATTAACCCCCAAAAATATTGAACTCTCAAGCTGAGTGTGGCCATTCCAATTTTCTAATAAAACATGTTAGATGCATGTATATAGTCATGTTATTTATTCACGTGCCGAATATTTTCAACCTATTATGTACAATTTCCGAGCTAAGCACTTAAATGTCAACTCGAAATGATACCAAGGTCGTATTGCAAATATCAGGCGGACAAAATACTCATTCAAACCAATCCATATACCTATTATAATTGACATGTCTCATCCTGATCAATGAAGCTTGAAATTGAGGTCAAGACAAAATGACATGCATTTTCAAGATCTAATGTAATTATGGAGAAATTGCGGTATATTTCTAGTAACTATGACCTTGACCTTTGAGGTATTGATCTCAATATCAATAGGGATTTTCCTCTCTTTACATGTTACTATATATATCAATGTAAGATTTCAATCTCATATGTATTTGATTTAGCATCCAGAAACCACTTTCTGTACAAATTATGGTCTATTTTAAGTATTTATGACGTTGATCTTTGACTTGGTGACCTCAAACTCAGTAGGAATCTTCCTCTCATTTTATGTGAACTCCTCACAACCAAACCACCTGAAAAATTTTGTGATCATCGAGGATTAAATTTCAACCTTAAAACTTGAACACTGCATGGAGTGTAAAATTGATGTCAAGGCCAAATGACGGAATATTCTCCTGGCAATCGAATCAAATAATATACCAAATGAGGAATAGAGAGTATCCGGCATACTCAGTCCTCTCACTAAAACGTGAAATTGAGCTAACATATTGACACGTAACAGTCAACAAATTGAAACATAATCCTAGCATCAATCTATATATTTAGTATTGCTACACTATCCTGTTAAAGAACAGAAGGTCTCATTCAGAAAACTTTCCCCAACCACTGATGTGTGCAATTGAAGTTATGGTCATTATGTCATATAACAGACGTACAAACATTCCTTGCAACCAATCTACATGCTAAAACGTGTTGACCCTCCGTGTATAGCTACTGAAGAACAGTCCTTATCCTGAAAACTGAACCGGACCACGTGAAGTATAGACCAATTACATTAATTTTGTCAGACGGATATATATACTCCTCACAACCAAAAATGTTGACCTAATATTTTAGTTCCTATATAAAAACAAGAAGATGTGATATGATTGTCAATGAAACAACTCTCCACCAGAGACCAAATGACATAGAATTTTACAACTTTAGGTCACCGTACGGCCTTCAACAATGACCAAAACCCATACCGCATAGTCAGCTATAAAAGGCCCCGAACTGACTAAAATAAAAACAATTCAGACGAGAAAACTAACGGCCTGGTTTATATACAAAACAATGAACGAAAAACAAATATGATGTACAGCAACAAACGACAACCACTGAATTACAGGCTCCTAACTTGGGACAGGCCAAACCCTCCCCCTAACCTGGGACACGTCACAGTGTAGTAACATTTCAACATAAGAACAAACTATAAAAATCAGTTGAAAAGGGCTTAACTTACCAGATCGATACAAAGCAGAACAAAATGTAACAAAAACACAAACCGGACGTGACAGGCTATTTATACATCCCCACAACAAAAAAGGCTCAAAGTACAGATTTGAGAGTAGTCGCAGTTACTGCCAGCTAGTTCCAAGCCAATAACAACTAATAAAACAAGAGGGCACACGCTGAAATGTCTCGCCTGTTTTAC